ATCTATTACACGTTTGAAGAAAAAAATCTTTTTTTCTTTGTCTCTTCTTTGAATATTAAATACCAAAAAAATGTTTTTTAAACTTTCATCACGTGAGATATCAAAAGTGCAGTAAATAGACACTCTTTTACACCTTTTTGCATGATTTGAATTAATATTCTTTTGGAAAAGAAAAACAAAAAAACACTTAGGCTTGCACGTGGGTTTGAAAATGGCGCTTGATGCCAGCAGCAATGACAGTTTCAATGAATAATTAAATATCGACGACGATAACATATTGTGACATTATCCATGACATTTGTTTAAATTGTTACATGACAGGTCATGGACAGACACAACCTCGAGCGAACCATTCTCAACGCCACATCACCAAAAAAAGACTTCATCGAGAGTTTCAATTTTTTTTAATGTCCCTTGACAAGTACTAAGGAACTGAAAACTCACAAACTAACTGATTTATATTATGACGGAATTTTCGAAAAATGAAAACTATTTAAAAATAAGATAACGGAAGAACGTTTGAATGCAATAAAAACTGTAGTCATTTAATGCCACTGCATTGCGATCTTTGCATCATGTAAAGGATGTATTTTTATCTTACTGTCTATTCAAAAGTTGTTTTTTTCATGAGTACTAGCAAATATACCCGTCGTCCCAAGGTAATGCATTCTAAAAAATTACAGCGTATACATCCTTTAGCTAACATCGAAAACAAAGTCTCTGTTTAAAAAAAAATCACTTCAATAATAAAACAAAAATATTATTCTCATGTTTTCTCCTATAAAGACACTTTATTATAACATTTGTAAACATTTAGTTTCCTTATGGCATCAAGTCCTCCAATGGAATTCCGTTAAAAATGGTGTCTCATTTCCCGATTGGATCTGGTCTTTGCTGGGATCCCGTTCCCTGGTAGAATCTCATTCCCGTTATCCCGTTACCTGGTGAGATCCCGTTCTCTATGGGATCAGGTTTCCTTACTTATCCCGTTCTCTATGGGATCAGGTTTCCTTACTTATCCCGTTCTCTATGGGATCAGGTTTCCTTACTTATCCCGTTCCCACATGAGACACCGTTCCTAGTGGTATCCTATCCCCCGGTTGGATTGTAAAGGGTTTGTAACCAACTTTGGCCGATTTCATCAATACACGCAGAAGCGTACACACGTATGTCTGTATGCATGTATATGTATGCATGTATGTATGCATGTATGCATGTATGTATGTATGTATGTATGTATGTATGTATGTATGTATGTATGTATGTATGTATGTATGTATGTATGTATGTATGTATGTATGTATGTATGTATGTATGTATGTATGTATGTATGTATGTATGTATGTATGTATGTATGTATGTATGTATGTATGTATGTATGTATGTATGTATGTATGTATGTATGTATGTATGTATGTATGTATATGTATGCATGTATGTATGTATGTATGAATGTAATTATGTACGTATGTATGTGTATGTATGCATGCATGTATGTATGTATGTATGGATATGTATGCATGTATGTATGTATGCATGTTATTTTGTATGTATGTATGTATGTATGTATGTATGTATGTATGTATGTATGTATGCATGTATGTATGCATGTATGCATGCACGTATGCATGTATGTATGTATGTATGTATGTATGTATGTATGTATATGCATGTATGTATGTATGTATGTATGTATGTATGTATGTATGTATGTATGTATGTATGTATGTATGTATGTATGTATGTATGTATATATGTATGTAGGTATGTATGTATGTATGATTGTATGAAAGTATATTTGTATGTATGTATTCATGAATGTACAGGCAGGCTGGCTGGCAGGTGGTAAATAGGTCAGTAGGGAGGTAGGTATGTACGTAAGTAGCTATGCTGGTTGTAAGGATGGGTGCTAAGTAGGTTTTTACTCATTGTTACACCTTTAATTATTCTGAACCGTTGCATGGATTTAGGATTAATATCAATAGGATGAGTAAATTAACTGAAGTGTAACGTTTACAGGTACATTTAGACACACTGCAGGTGACATGAAGTCACCTATTCATTTGGAATTATACGTAGTTTATTTCATAAAATGGTAACACTTTACTGATTATTTTGCAAGCAATCTACTTAAAATGAACACAAATAAATCATCAAAAGTCCAAAACTGTGTGTAAGTATTATGCATGTATTCATGCATGTAATAATCCAGGTATTGATGTACGAAGGCAAAAGTTGTTTGTGTTGTTATGTGTCTTTTTTCTTAAATTCTGGCATAAATAAGCATGGGCGCATCAGAATTGCACAAATCTCTTTGTTTTGTTGCTAAAAGCACAGAGAAAACGTGCTTTATGTTCAGGAATTACCTAATAAATTACATTGCATTAAGCCGGGACAAAACACATTTATTTTTTATTTTTTTGTCTACTAAATAGCTAATAATTGGTGAGAAAGTTTTAAATCAGTAGCTGGTTAAAAAGAAAACATTTATTTAGACATAAAAATGTGTCACAAAGCAAGAATCTATTTTCCGGAAAGCATCACTTTGCAGAGTCATTAAAAAAGAGAAAATAGTGACCTGTGAGTCGTACCTACGTGTCACAAATTATTGCTTTCTGCAGTCTTATGATCACATGTGTACTTTCAGGATGAAGGTAATCCAATGGTTCAAATAAAAATGTGCAGAATATAAAAAGAAACGTATGCTCTATCTTCAGAGTGCTAAGTGCTGACAAGATGAAGTGCTGACAAGATGAAGTGCTCACAAGATGAAATACACCCAAAAAGAAGAAGTTTACTTCATTTCATTTCTTATGATGATTTAATATTGTAACAGCTCAAATATTACAATAATGAATTGTTTCTTATTTTAGTATTAATATGAAGTTTTTTTGTTTTTTTTGGAATGGCATGTGCAGAAGGACAAGACTTGATTCGTATGGTTATTGGGATCGACGATAAATTTGTGCTCTCGCTATCTTTTAAGTGTATATATTGTAACATTGTAATAGCTGTCTGAAAATCTGAGTGTATTGTCATACATGTGAAGTGTATAAGATCATGACCATTATTTTACTCCAATCTGGAGTTTTATTTCTTATTTTTTGTGAATTGTATATACGAATAAGAGGTAACGGAAGGAGTAGTGTGTTATCATATATAATCAAAGACGTTACAAAAATAATGTTGCATTAAATTGTTTCAAGTGTTACTTTACATAAAAATAAGGTCATCTATTTTGTTGTTGTTGTAACTCGTTGTATATAAAATAAATTTCCCAATGCTCTGTGAGGTAAAAATAAAAAAATTAAAAAAATTAGAATCTCGAAACATAACTTGTTAACATGTGCTATGATTATTTCGTTGTTGTTTTATGTGTGTGTGTGTTGTTGTTTTTGTTGATGTTGTTGTTACTCGTATCAAATTCCTTTAAGGTTAACTGTACAGCATTGTTTCACCTAGCAGCCCGGTCGGTCAGAAATGAAAGATAACGTACTTGTAATGTGGGGAATTATCACACACACAAAGAAGACAACAAACGTTTTGAATAAAAACAACTCTATAACATCGGACTAGGATAAGAAAAATATATACATTTTTTTTTTATTATTGCACGAGTGCTTGTGACATTGTAACTACATTTTTGTTTAAAATGTGTGTTCATAATAATTGAAATCCCAGCATGGCATTGGCCCAATAAAAGGGCTATTTTTACTGGTGCCAGGCTGTTTGATCAACGATGTATAGGCCTACTTGGCATAACGAGATTAACGGAGAGAGGCCACTGACTCAACAATGAGATTATTTTTTTTTTATTTAAAAAAAAACAACAGATAACATTCCTTTAAAACTCCCTCACTAAGAATATGAAACAAATTTATATATTTTAATTAAAGATACTTATATATATATATATATATATATAAATTTTATAGCTAATAATAATAAACAAAATGTATCTTGTTTTAAATTGAAAATGGACATATAATAATAATTTGAATTGTTTTTGTTTCTATTTATAATTTCAAATTCTTTTCAATTGATTATTTTTTAAAGTTATAAAGTAAATCACAATAAAAGATTTAGAAAAAAGTAAATGGTGTGTATAAATTAGAACCCAGAAAGTGTCATAAATAAGCAAACAATAATGATTCAATATTGAAATCGTGATAACATGACCGAATTTAAAAAAAATTATATAATGTATCTGCGTAAAGATAGAAATACTAAAGTCGCAAAATTATTACAGCATCAGTATCTTTTCCGTACTTTCTGCAAACTTTTAAATGTGTTGTTCAACTAAATGATTCAACTGATAGGTTTTTTCTCCTATTTATGAAAAATTTTCGAGTTCGGTTTAATTTAATTATTGTTTCCAAAAGAGACGTTCTCTGAGACTCTTTAGATTAATTCTTAAGATTCCGAATTAAAGTCTAACTTAGATATATATCTTTATCTTGATCTCATCTATTTTTAATACGTTTCTATATTCTCTCACTAGAAAAATTTCTTATAAAAGTGAGCTCAGTACACGTACTGTCTGACTATTGGTGTTTGTTGCAGTGGTGGATGCAATTAATCACAAAGGAAAACTAAACGTATCAGCTTTGATGTTAATTGAAGTTGGGTGGGGGGTGTATTATTAAAGAGAGAAGCTAAGAATCGGAAGTGGTAGAGGTTGGGTGGAAGTACGTGGAAGATTAGGGATAGAGGGAAGATTAGAGATAGGTAAATAAGTTAAGGTTAGCGTTAAGGCTTAGCTCATATTTATTATGAGAAAGAGACTTGATGAGATAAATATTATTGTGTGGGTAGGTGATGATTATCAAGGAAATACTTTAAAGGTGAAGGCAATGCGCTTGGAGACAGTTATACTGTTATGTGGTATTGGAAGAATCATATGACGCCACTAATTTGACGGATATGTTACATGGGAATATGGAAGGGTATAAGATCACCAGTTGGAAAGAGCTCATACTTAAAGTGAGGGGAAAAAACAACTAAAACCTTATAACTTTTAAGACATCAGATCTGAACCCTTTCACTAAGCTAAAGTAAAGGAAACAGTTCAGGACATGTGAACTATCGGCTAATATAAAGAAAACTAACGTAGTTAAACTAACATTCCTGTCATAACTACAAAGGGGCAAAACGATGAGAATCATGACATTGTAAGGAGCATATACAACAAAGTACAAACAAGCCGCCAGTATCATCAAGAGACTCAGAGTGTTCTCCATTCGCGCTGCCACCTTCGTAGTTTGTTCGCTTGCTGCAATATTATTTAGCATGCGGTCTATTTGTGGAGTGCTTGAATTTTCAAAAAGACACAGCCGTTCCTTTTGATACTTGTGAAGGACCCTGATCACTGCCCCGGTTAGTGCGGTTATAACAAAGAAAGGGATGATTACCATGAATGTGCCCTGAACCAAAAGAAATAATTGTTGTGGTATCATTAATGGATAACAAAAACCGAAAATATCTAAATCATTATTCACAAAAAAGCAGTCCAAACACAGAGGAGTAGGCCTAAAGACATAGATGAAAAGATTATTTTGCATCGTTTTACCGAGATCCACTGTCGCCTTTTCAAAGGGCAACAGATAGTCAAGAAACGCTCTGCGCAAATCAGGACCAGCGTCCAGTTGGCGATGGTCGTCAGAGTTACGCTTGGCACATAAAAGAATTTACAGGCAAACGAGCTGGAAATGACAGTGTACACTTTGAGGTTAGCCTCGACCAGCTTGGCTACAAGCGCTGTGTTGTCAGTGACGGCCAGGTAAACTTTGAGCAGTGACGCCGGACTTCGAGTTTGGCATTTTAACAGAGTTATAATCGTCAGTGTGTTTGCAGGCAGTCCAAGCGCACAGTACAACCATGTGTAACTCAACAAGGCGTATTTTGTCCCAGGATCGACGAGTTCATAGTAGCTAAAAAAAAAAAAAAAAAGGAGGAGGGGGTGGGGTTAGGGGGAATGGGGTGATCATGTTCAGATTTATTGATTATAATCTTTATTATTCGTTTCTTAACAAAAAAATGTAATAAAATTGTACATTTACTTTTGATTAGGACACTTTATTTATTTGAAAAGCATTTTGAAATATATCTAATATCCGTATTTCTCAAAGTACCTGCCACCTGTTCGTGATTACACAAAGTACCTAGTACCTGTCCATGATTACACAAAGTACCTTGTATTTTCCTTGATTTTACAAAGTACCTAGAACTGTTCATTATTACACAAAGTATCTAATACCTGTTTCTGATTACACAAAGGAACTAGTACCTGTCCGTGATTACACAAAGTACCTAGAGCTGTTCATTATTACAAAAAGTACCTAGTATCTGTTCGTGATTACACAAAGTACCTAGTACCTGTCCATGATTACACAAAGTACCTAGTACCTGTCCGTGATTACACAAAGTACCTAGTACCTGTCCATGATTACACAAAGTACCTAGTACCTGTCCATGATTACACACAGTACCTAGTACATGTCCATGATTACACAAAGTACCTAGTACATGTCCATGATTACACAAAGTACCTAGTACCTGTCCGTGATTACACAAAGTACCTAGTACTTTTCCATGATTACACAAAGTACCTAGTACCTGTCCGTGATTACACAAAGTACCTAGTACCTGTCCATGATTACACAAAGTACCTAGTACCTGTCCATGATTACACAAAGTACCTAGTACCTGTCCATGATTACACAAAGTACCTAGTACCTGTCCGTGATTACACAAAGTACCTAGTACCTGTCCATGATTACACAAAGTACCTAGTACCTGTCCGTGATTACACAAAGTACCTAGTACCTGTCCATGATTACACAAAGTACCTAGTACCTGTCCATGATTACACAAAGTACCTAGTACATGTCCATGATTACACAAAGTACCTAGCACATGTCCATGATTACACAAAGTACCTAGTACCTGTCCGTGATTACACAAAGTACCTAGTACTTGTCCATGATTACACAAAGTACCTAGTACATGTCCGTGATTACACAAAGTACCTAGTACCTGTCCGTGATTACACAAAGTACCTAGTATATGTCCGTGTGGTCCCGCAATTTATTTTTGTTTTTATCCTTAAATATCCATGCTTTAAAATTCTTGTTACATTTTTTAAAAAATTTTCATGTAATCAAATGTATGGTTAATTCTACATTGAACATTGAGTATGAAAACCCTTGCTCACATTATAAGGTCTATACTATGTGCTGGGTGGCCGAGTGGTCTAAACTGAGCAAATCTCAAGTTGGTGGTCAATTCCAGAGCCCAGCCAAGCAACAACACCACCAGCACCCCGGGTAACCTTGGGTGGCAACTCATCTAAGAGAAGGCAACTCTGAAATCAAACCCGGAGTTGGAGTCCCGAAAGGCGGATAACATTGTTACAATGAAACATTCCGACAACTCCTGTGACGTCACTGGTGCCAAGCTGTATCGTCCAATGATTGGGTTAGCCAGCGGCGTGGAGAGAGGCGATTTGCTGTTGGGAACCAGCTTATAATCCTTGAAGTATAATCCCAGGCCATGTGGATTTCGTCCTCCGAAGCCCACTCCATCGTCACATTGTGCCAGCACTATGTATATTGAAATTTAGCCTTAATATTTAAAACAGACTAAAATTACTTTAATAGAACTGAAGGATTTTAAAATAATTATTATTCGGAATTTATGCAAATGTTTTTCCTTTAAAATTCAATTATTAAAACATTCGAGAGTAATTAAACTTTGCACAAAGACATAGAAAGTTATTTACCTTAAATCAGCAATCTCCAATGAGTCGTTAGAAAAATCAAAATGTAGTTCCATGTTGTTGTGTGTTGTTAGACTTAATCTGGGGTCAAGATTCTCTTTACTCTATCGGCTAGGAAGCACTGTCCATAGTAGTTACCTCAAAGGAAGGGCGTACAATCTGAATTCCAATCGGTCTAACCAGCAAACCCTTCAACGGACTTTGCGACCGGTCAAAGTGATTCTGTTATTGATACAAATTTATTAAAAAATCTTTAAAATAAATTCAAAGGCCCTTATTGGTGAAGCTTATAAAAATTGTTCAGCTGAATATTATTTATAAATAAAGATCGAAAAAAAAAACAAAGAAAAAACACTGGTACAATCCTTACAACACAACGAGATCTGTTTGTGGTGATTGCCTTAACTAACGTTTAAGATAATCATAGTCCCCTATCTGGCTGTCTGCCCACATTTGTATCATGTGGTGGCGAATGGGGCATGCTCTTTGAGTACAGACAGGCAGAGTCGTAACTTGACTAAATACCACCCGGAGAGAACTCCCAAATGTCGCCCAACTGCACATTATCAGAGATATTTTCTGTGTGACATTGCTGCTAACATTTATTATAAATGCTAAGTTGAATGTCAGGCAAAGCTATTCAATTCATGAGCACCAAGGGAGTGTCAATGATCAACAACTTTAAGGAAGGTGGGTGAATCTTTCAAATAAAATGTAATTCCTGTGTGTGGTGTTCTTATATATAATATAATTATATGATTTAGTTTACTATAATTAAATGACTTGATTTCTATAATTAAATGACTTAGTATATTATAATATATGACTTAGTATATTATAATTATATACTTAAAAGGGCATCATGACCTTTTTTGCTAATTTAAAACTAGATTTTTAAAAATTGTGTGTTTCTTTAAATTTTACAGCAGACATGGGGGTAAGTATGTATGTATGTATGTATGTATGTATGTATGTATGTATGTATGTATGTATGTATGTATGTATGTATGTATGTATGTATGTATGTATGTATGTATGTATGTATGTATGTATGTATGTATGTATGTATGTATGTATGTATGTATGTATGTATGTATGTATGTATGTATGTATGTATGTATGTATGTATGTATGTATGTATGTATGTATGTATGTATGTATGTATGTATGTATGTATGTATGTATGTATGTATGTATGTATGTATGTATGTATGTATGTATGTATGTATGTATGTATGTATGTATGTATGTATGTATGTATGTATGTATGTATGTATGTATGTATGTATGTATGTATGTATGTATGTATGTATGTATGTATGTATGTATGTATGTATGTATGTATGTATGTATGTATGTATGTATGTATGTATGTATGTATGTATGTATGTATGTATGTATGTATGTATGTATGTATGTATGTATGTATGTATGTATGTATGTATGTATGTATGTATGTATGTATGTATGTATGTATGTATGTATGTATGTATGTATGTATGTATGTATGTATGTATGTATGTATGTATGTATGTATGTATGTATGTATGTATGTATGTATGTATGTATGTATGTATGTATGTATGTATGTATGTATGTATGTATGTATGTATGTATGTATGTATGTATGTATGTATGTATGTATGTATGTATGTATGTATGTATGTATGTATGTATGTATGTATGTATGTATGTATGTATGTATGTATGTATGTATGTATGTATGTATGTATGTATGTATGTATGTATGTATGTATGTATGTATGTATGTATGTATGTATGTATGTATGTATGTATGTATGTATGTATGTATGTATGTATGTATGTATGTATGTATGTATGTATGTATGTATGTATGTATGTATGTATGTATGTATGTATGTATGTATGTATGTATGTATGTATGTATGTATGTATGTATGTATGTATGTATGTATGTATGTATGTATGTATGTATGTATGTATGTATGTATGTATGTATGTATGTATGTATGTATGTATGTATGTATGTATGTATGTATGTATGTATGTATGTATGTATGTATGTATGTATGTATGTATGTATGTATGTATGTATGTATGTATGTATGTATGTATGTATGTATGTATGTATGTATGTATGTACATGTCCGTTAGGACATAAGTATTTGTCAAATACGATGCAAGAAACAAATATAATTTATATAATGATCAATTATACAACATGAGAAAATGCTTAAAATCTGAAGTTTTTTTTTCTACAATTGGGCAAGCACAAGTTTTACATCGGCCAGCAAAATGGGCTTTAATACCAATTTCTCTAACGAAACAGTTGAGCTCTTCAATATCAGGTAAGCATGTCTTTCAATAACCGAGACATTTAATTAAAAAAATTATTGGGATTTTTTAAACGATGAAACTAAAATTGGAATCACCAGATATGATTAGAAGATTTATCTAATCCTCAAGGAAACAATTTGAAATGTTCTTCATGACTAGTCACAGATGCACACCCTATGAGCAAACGATATTTTACTTTTCAATATTAATTATTACAATTCCTTTTTTTTAATGCTAAATGCCGATACGATTTCTATGTGTCAGGAGGAATTTCCCAAGTATTTCCTACAGTGGAGTTACTAATTTTGTGTACAATAAGGGAGAATGTTATATTTTAAAAGAGGTTAAAGATCGCGTTCAAGTGATTCAAAGATTTAATTAGAATGGGGGTAAAATATATAATTATAAATATCCTTTATTTAAACTTTTCTGACTTTTAGAGAAAAAAAAATTCGAATTCAATAAAAATAAAATTATAGTAAATTTGACCAGAATACTTTTCAAACGGCTTACTGTGGTCGTCAAAACATAGTTGTCAAAAATACATCATGGTTTCTGACTCTGGCATAATTCTACATATGTGCTACAATTTTTTATTTTTTTTAATGAGTTTATTTATGATTTTGACTGTTTAAAACGTTTCACCAGATTAACCTGTAAAAAAAATGTTTAGGACCCCCGCGGAAAAAGTTTTTCCAAAATTCTCTGATGCTCCTTTGGAAATGTGTACTCCCATTCTTAACCTTTTTCACTTCCTCGAGAAATAATAAATTGTGCAGGATAATTTTCTCCATTTAATATCATTAAAGAATACGTTTCCTTTTTAAAATTAAGTGAATAATTCTGATTAAAAAAATACTTTTTTGTTGGTTGAAATCTTCACAGTAGCAATGACACAAAGGTCAATGATGAATTCCCCTGGAGACAAGATGCTATGAAAATCTACATGTGGGTGTTTTGTGGCATTGGAATACCAGCGAATATCCTGACTTTTGTAACCATTTCAAAATTTCAGTTCCGAGGCGTTGCTTCATTTTTGGTATGCCTCCTGGTCGTCATTGATAGTGTTGCTCTTGTGGCCAAACTTATTGAAATGCAAATCATTGCCCATAAAGTGTCTCTTGGCCAGTTTGGATGTAAGACAATTCACGTGCCGAGTGTAACATTAACAGCCATCTCGAACTGGACAGTTATTTTAATATGTTTGGAACGTTACGTTGCCGTCTGCAAGCCGTTCAAGAGAAGAATTTGGATAACTGACAAACGATGCAAAGCAGCCGTGACTTTGATTTCGTCCATTCTTACAGTAACTTTTGTATCACTTTATTTCATTTTTATTGATATAGACTCAACGGGGTTTTGTTTTGTGATCCATTTAACAGAAAACTCCTTTTATTGGGTCCAATTTATAATTTCGATAGCAGTTCCTTTAATTGTGACAACTGTTCTAACCATCGCGGTTATCAAAACATATTTTAATGCTCGACGCCGGCGTCTGAGGGTTCTCATAGATAAGAGAAACGGACAGACGGATCATTTAGCTGAACGCCAAAATCAAACAGTTGTGAGCAGCGCAGAGAGTATGGAAAAGATTTTGAGTCTACTCATGATGTCATCAGTTTTGTTGTATTTTGTTATCAATTTGCCATTTTGTGTTCACGCTTTAGTTATTGGACCATTATATAATTACAATTTAGACTCCTTTTCTGGACTTATTAATGACATTTTTTTTATACTAATGGACTCATCTCATGTACTGAATTTTTTCCTCTACTTTGTCTTTGTTTCAGGCTTTAGAAGAAATGTTTGCAAATTATTCAGATCTATTTGTTGAAATAGCATAAATTTAAACACCATAAAATCGATGTCTAATTAACATGGTTATTACGCGTATATTTTGTTTGTAAGCGCAGATTAAATGCGTTATACTTTTTGTATACACTAAGTACATAAACACATTTGACGTAAGAGGAGTGTATAACATTTTACATAAGGACTCTCTCTGTGACTATCGCTTTCTTTATAACAGAGGCGTTTGGGAAAAACTGAGCTTAAAGTAAATAAGTCATAATTGCAGATTTCCCAAGATATGAAAAAAAAGTACCGTCTCTAATGGTTTTTTTTATACTCTCTTCATCATGTTTACTTTTTTACTTCTTCTATTAAAAAATAATACATTTTAGCAAACGTAAAAAAAAATCCTTAAAAAAAAAATGAATGGCGTCTGTCTTTCTTTCAGTTTGAACTAACCGCCATACAGTAATAAGAACCGAAAATAGAGACACCATACGGGCACATATGAAGATATTTGCCATACAACTAATTGCACATTCTCTGCGGCACACCACAACCAACAATAATTGGTCTTTGCCGTCTAAGGCTTTCTTTGGACATTGGAAAGAGGGCTATTTAATACTTGAGGGCTATGTAATACTTGAGGGCTATGTAATACTTGAGGGCTATGTAATACTTGATGTGCTGTTTTTTTTTTTTTTAATAAAATGATAACAGCTCAAAACATTGCAGCGTTATAGATTTTAAAGGGGAAATAAATTAAACCTTGAATTATCCTCCCTTTTGTTTTGCTTGGCTGAGCTAAACTATGTTGCGCGCATTTGTTAAGTTTTTTTGTGTTCATTTTATATTGGATGTATAGCAAAATAATTTAAAAAATACGTAGTTAAAAGTTTTTTTCTTCCAAATATAAAAATTAATCTAAATTTTGAAAAGATAATACTCAACATAAGACGGAATTTTATTATTTCAAGATTGTTGTGTTTTAAAATGATAATTGTTTTGCTTTCATGGCTAATTATTGCCTACACACGATCGTATTGGCAATAAAAAAAAAAAAAGAAATGTCTACAATTTGGAACTTTTTAATTTTTAGCGACTATAATAGTGGTGTTATTTGTTAAGTACCGTTTATACTCCCTTAAAAGCCTACATCGCATATAAGCCGACCCCCTAAAACTGGTTTAAAATGGCCAGTTTTTGCAAAAACCCGCATATAAGCGGACCATACAATTGTCTAATTTTACTCCATATTTTTGGTTCATAGAAATTTGTTACTGTAAAGATGTAAAATGCTTACTTTTATGTTACATACAAGTTTGTTTACCTTTTGGAATGACACAAAAATGTGTTCTGCTCTTTCCCACTGGGTATAATGATAAGCAGACCCCCTGATTTTTGTATCATACATTTTTTTATCCTTAAACAATTTATTTTAAAAACTAAGTATTAAACAATTAGACAATAATTAATATAATTATTAAAACCAAGATTTTAACACCTTTATTCAATTTCTGATAAATATCGTCTTCCAGCAAGAGGAGACGTGCAGCGTCTTTGTAAATGATAACTCAAATGTTCACCTTAAATGCTGAGATATACAACACTATGTGATATATACAACACTATGTGTTGACCATGTTTAATTCATCTCCAAAAATGGGCGGGACCGATTGCAAATTTTCAAAATTCCAACTTTAATAAAAAATTAATTCAGAGATATTCATTTTTGTTTTTTATTTTGAAACTTGTTGTAATAGTTTATTTCAAGTAAAATGTCAATCATTTCCAAACAGATTTTTCTCGTAGTGTTTCTCACTTAAAGTGAATTGTTACACGTGAAAAATTCTTCTTTCAGAACTTTAAAAATGTTTTTTTTCTTCTGAAAAGCGGTCTGCATGATCGAATAGGTGTGTTGAGGACTGATCATTAGCTTAGTGTTCAACTAGAAAAATCGCAAACCTGTTTGGAATAATTTTCATTCACTTCTTATTTATATGAAGCTTGTTGAGGAAGGTGTTAAATGCCTGTGAAGTGTGGTGATAGTATCATTTTCATTCACATTTTCGTGTGATTGAGCTTGTTGAGAAAGTTCTTATTTAAGTGACGAGAGGTAAAACGCTTGTCCCTTTTCTGTCATTTAGAAAAAAAATTGTGATCAATGGTTGCTGGTGGCCGAGAGCGATTTTATATTACACTTCTATTCTATTATTTTTAAAATTAATGCTTATTTATTCAAAATTTCTCCTTTTAGTTTATTAAATTAGCCTACATTTTAAAAAAAAAATATTTTTTGATACATATAATTAGCAGATTTTTGGTAAAATATATTTTCTGGCTTTTAGTTTGAAAAGTGCTTATGTTGCCTAGTTTTTTTTTTTGTTTTTTTTTACTTGATTTGAATGTTATCGCGGAAGGGGGTGCGATTGCTAGAAGTGTTCTATCATATTAGGGCGTTTTTAATTTTTAAAAAATGAAGTTTTTAGGGGTAAATGTTGAGCATAACTGTCATAATTATGTCACATAATATATGCACCGCCCTAAGCAACATTCAGTTTATCAGTGTTGCATAGCTCTATAAATACATGCCAATTTTATATCACGATATGGTGAAAACGTGTCTGATATCGATTTAAACATCACTGTATCCCTGTGGATTTAAAAAAAAATAATTAAAACTCTTGATTATTTATGTGCATTTTTGACTTAATACCACCTCTCAGTCCTTATGTTCTAATCCCGAGCTAATTTTTCTACAGGTTTAATGTGGGTGTTATTTATAGCCGAGTACAGTGCAGGGCTTGGCTATTTGTTAACTTCAACAGAGAGCTCTTTTTAGCCCCAGCATTTTTACTTTTATGACGAGCACGATAATTACGTCATCGTGTAACTGTGTTGTATGAGTTCCCTAAACTTCCCTTCCTTAGCTGGAAAATGAATGTTCACATACAATTGCGTTCCGTTTGTTCTCAAAAAAAGCCATTAAGTGATGCAAGTTCTAGATTTTCTTTACTAGAACGTTCGGATTTAATTCTTTTATAAAAATCCTCCTCATTTCTGAGCAGCTCGACATGGTGAGACTAAGATCGACATATGAGCCGTTCTATCATTGTATACATACATTAATTTTTGTATATTGTAGGATTTTACCTTTTACTTGCAGCAAATTGATAGTTTTTTGTTTTTTTTTTTGCTTCTGTACTGAAATTTGCATTGGTACAGAAACGAATTTATATAATTAAATTACATTTTAGTTCCACTAGATTTGTTATCGCTTTTTTGTGCACACTATTAGATCAGTCTTTTGTTATGTGTTTTTTCTTCCAAGAGTCAACTATTAAAACATTTAAATTTTTAAAACCATATCGGTACGTAAAAGACTGTCCCATTAGTGCAGGGTCAGTACACTACAGATAGTTATGTCATTTTATTATGTCCTTGGATTGACTATTGAGTTTGAAATCAGAGAACATCAAGCGTCCTGACAAAGTATGCGTGTAACTACAACAGGGTTGCGCGGATCAAAGAGGTTGAAAAATCCATTGTACAGTATCATTTAAATTTGACAAATTTGAAGTGCGCTACAACAGACGATAGTGAAAACTTTCACTGGGAAGTGACATTTTAAGTAGGGGAAATTTTTAAGGCTTTCAAAATTAAGTGTGGTATTGTAAATGCATGTTTAAACTATTGAGAAAAAAGTTAGCATTGTTCAAATTTGAAGTATCAGAGTTTTTAGTCTAAGTAATTATATTTAAAATTACAGAACCTTTTAAAAACAGATCTCTCAATACGAATTTCAAATTAGTTTATTTCGGAAAGCAAGCTTTTGAAATTATCAAATTGTGAATTTATGCTCAAATCACAAAAAGAGAAATGGCTATATAAGGAATGTTGAGTCGGGGGGGGGGGGGGCGGGTCGAATTATGAAAATTGAGCTCTTTCACCACACTGTATAGGGATAAAGAAGTTATGTACGGTGTTATTTTAACAGTGTCATTTATTTAAAGACGGCATGGTGACTGCCATTTTTATCAAGGGTGGATCGAAGTGTGAGGCTATGGGTATGAATTGTTCAAATGAATCCAAATGCAAGGATGCTCTTGTGTATGCATTTTATGCTACACTTAAATCGAAGAGCAGGGGACGAGATGCTAGTTGATATCAGTGGTATTTTAGAAATAAGTGTTTAGTATTTATAGTGATTTAAAAAAAATATTTTCCAGTAGCTTCTTTCTCCATAAATTTCAGTTCAGGTCAAAATTCATTTCTCATATTTTTTTCCCCTCCTTCAAAGTTGAATCGATTCTGGATGTGTTACCAAAAGAAATCTGAAAGAAACAATCAATTTTTTTTTTCCCCTTGAAAAATTATTATAATGCTGCAAATATAATTAGTTAATAAATCTACACGTCATATTCAAGTATGAATATTCAAGGCACAAATAAATAGCGCTTTTTTAATTGTTTTGTTTAACGAATTTAAATAACAATAATTCTTGAAAAGGCGCCATATAAAATATAATTGCCGATAAAGACGTTTAAAAAACAAGTATTATTATTAACTTACACTTGTTAAATAGATGTAAGACCTACAATAGATATAATAGTTGCAATTGATATAATATACATTTTAAACATATTTTTTTAAAACCTCATCATTACTATTACAAAGATATAAACAGAAAATGCGGCCATGTATTTTGTTTATCATTATTTATCATTTCTGATTTCATGTATAATATAAACAAATGGTATCCGTTTAAACCTATCATTTTTGACGTATGTAAGGAGAATAGGTTAAATATGACATTAATATATTCACCTCAATCACATACTTGCTAATAGGGTCTCATGCTGGAATATGCTTTCAAATACCGGCAACTAATGTCTAGGAAGCGTTATATACATAAAAGTGTTGTGTGTACCATATCATTTAAACAAGCATTTTATCAGACTCAACATTTTCTGTACAACATATTTTCAGACTTTTCTCTTGAACTATTTCTACTGCATCATAAATAGTTTTTTTTAAAGCTATATGGAGTTGATGTGGGTTTTTTTTCCCTTTGAATAGATGATGGACATAAATACTCAATAAAATAACATCAAAATATTTATAGTTTTAAAAAGGTATTTAATCAACAAAACTTATTCAGATCAACCAGTCGACTCATTCAATCACATGCCACAGTTTTGCCTTCTAATTATAAAATGAAAATGTCAGGAACTTAAAACATAAGGACACATAAAACAGATAACCTATTATCACGTGGTGACGCATACTAGCAGGTGGGACAAACCAACAGGTGCAAAAGCATACCATAACTGTAGATCGCGTTTATACGGTTTCTGAGGAGGGCTGTGGCGCCACGAGATGGAATGAAACAAAATAGTGCTTTAAAAAAAAGTAAACAATTCAAAATCATGTACGATGAAATCATCCGAGAAAGGAGATTATGTGAAGAAATTATGAGGCAACTTAATCAAAGTTTTGGATTTTTTACGTATAACATGAAGAACAATGTGTTGTGTGTGTTTGATGGGGGCTTAATTTTTGAGATTTTGCCAAGGCGACTTTTAAGGAAGTTGGTATCTTTTTCTTACAATGAAAATTGGAATATAATTTGTTGCAGAGGACGAATTTGTAAAAAAAATAAAAACAGTATCTCTAGAAATGACTATGAACTATTGCATATACACTTAAATGAGGTCACCCCCTTCGTGTAGGGATTAGAAACGCTGCTTCATGTAGTGACGTAGCTGGATCTTGTGAAGGCTAAAATGAAAAAAGATATTTTCGGAATCGGAGAACAAGGCCTAATGTGTCATTTCGAAATGAACCAAAATTCAGGTTTATAATAAAGGTTTGAAATAAGTAATTGTACCCGTTATAAGGAAATAATTAAGAAAGCTTATATTGGGAATGACGAATTCATGGGGAAAAACGTGTAGGCAAAATATAGAATTTATTATATCAACAAATGAACCATAGAAAAATCGAATCGTACATAGTACAAAATGTGAAAACCTTCCCGGTGTACAGAGCTTCAAAAAAGGTGAAAGAAAGATAAAAAAAATAATGATCCAAATAATAAGGTAATTTTAAAAATAAAAAGCAGCTTGTTAAGATAAACACACAAAAACCTTTACGAGAAAACAAAAGATTAGCAGGAAATGCCAATATCAATTTAAACAAAACGAATGTAAAACTCTAAGGAATTCCACAATCACAATTTCATATTTTAAACAGAATGCTATGGACTATGGATGTCATACTTCAAGAAGGTTTCAAACAGACCATAAATAATTGATATTGCATAGTTTGAGACATCTAAATGGGCAATAAAATATGAAAAAAAATATTTTACAAAAACAACTTGAACTGACTGATGAATTAATGCTGATGAAAAATAGGCAGTAATATAATTATAAAGAAATATAAGCTTTCGATACATATGAAAAATAATCAGTAATATCAATATCATGAAATAAAACATTATTGGTTATTTATGCGAACAATGGAAATAACTAAATATAAAAGAGAGGTGCTGATATTTATCAATTCAACATGAAAGTGTTCAAAACAGATTGAACGAATTTCAGAGGCATTTCGAGGCATTAATTAAGAAAACGTGTGATGACAAACCACCATTATGATGACCAACCACCATTATGATGACCAACCACCATTATGATGACCAACCACCATTATGATGACCAACCACCATTATGATGACCAACCACCATTATGATGACCAACCACCATTATGATGACCAACCACCATAACGAAGACCAACGACAATTGCGAAAATCAACCACCATTACGTAGACCAACTACCATTACGAAGACCAACTACCATTACGAAGACAAAACACCATTTCGAAGACCTACCACCACTGCGACGGCCAACTATCATCACGAAGACCAAACGCCTTTACGAAGACCAATGCCTAAGGCGAAATGAATGATGTTCTGATCCAAAAACATCTAAGAGGGATAGAAAGTCATAGACATTAAGTATGACAGTTAATAACAATAACATTTTTTTTTCCAATTAGTACTAAAAAATTAGTTATATATGTAAATAAATATATGTATATAATATAATATAATATAATATTATGGCATCCTTCCGTCTAAGTGAGACGATGGAGTAGCTATATAGTTCTACACTTTGTCCAGTGGCTCACTAGGCCAATCCTAGAATGGCAATCACGGCCGCATCTCTCGCAGGAGAATGGTGAATCCCGGTAAATTCTTGATTTTCTAATTGTTCTTTTTGATTCAAGGGCCTCGTTTCGAGTAATTTCTGCCTTTTTTACTCGTTCAAACACTGCTGTACGCCAGTTTGAGCGATGTTCGGCAATGAACTCCTATTCGTTTGTTTCAATATTGGCTTCCCTCATGCTTCGTTTGCAAACGTCAATAAGTCTCAGGCGCGGTCGTCCAATATGTCTTGTCCCCTCTGCCAACTCTCCATACAGCAGTATCTTTGAGATACGATTTGGTTACGTGCTATCATTAGTAGGTAGCATAAACATATAAATGAAATACACACTTTTTGGGGGTTGGCATCCGTCCGTTACAATGTGAAAATGTTGTAGATTTAGCAGGGCGAAATCCACAAGAAATATCATTTTTCTTTTTCTTTTTTTAAAGGAATATAAGCTGGTTCCCTGCATTACAAATCACCCCTCTCCCCGCTAGATAACTCAAGGGAACATCATATGTTTAAAGATAAACTTAAAAGCTAGGTCAAATGTATATTGCAACAAATGCAAACAAAAATAACACATATCTGCTGCATCAATTTTCAATATAACAATTTCTACCGCATTGCTCATTGCTACCTCCTCTTAACATTTAGAAATGCTAAAAAAAAAACATCTTCGTCATCTTGAAATAATTAACATAATTAATAAAATACATTAGAACCGCTCATAACGAGTAATTCGCATTACGAGAAAAAAAAGGGAAGAAGTTGCTCCCGTAACGAGCGATGTTTCGCATAACGAGTTACTCAGAAAGGGGAAGTCACTTCCCTGACATTCATTTGTGAGCCGGGACTTCGGCGCCGATGCATTAGTTTAGCGGTTCTCAATCTGTGGGTCGTGACCTCTTTGGGAGTAGCGCGACCCTTTCCCAGGGGTCGCCTTAGACTATCTGAAAACACACATTCTTACAGCTATGAAGTAACAACGAAAATAAGTAGGTTGCTTGGGGGTCGCCAACACACGAGAAACTGTATTAAAGTGTCGCGACACAAGTAAGGTTGAGAACCAATGCATATGTCTGTGTTTAGCACTCGGTCTGTTAGCGTATTGTTTTCGTGTGTAATCACCAGTTTTTACAAATCTTTTATTCAGACAGTTTTCGTAATTTTGTTATGTGCAACGTGTAATAACCTATGCTAAAATGTCTTCGAAAACAAAACACAAGATAAATCATGAAAGAGAAAAAATAACTGTTGAAATGAAACGTAAAATCATTGAAGAGCGAGAACAAGGTGTGAGCGTGGCTATTCGTGCTACAAATTTATTCAATGATAATGCTGTGACGATGGAGTGGGCTTCGGAGGACGAAATCCACATGGCCTGGGATTACTTAAGGGATAATAAGCTGGTTCCCAATAGCAAATGGCCTCTCTCCACACCGCTGGGTAACCCAAGGGAACATCATTTGATGATACAGCTTGGCACCAGTGACGTATTTTTTCAGCATGGAACGCATTATCGTATTTTACATTGATTTGTATAGCAATAATTGTTTCGTTTAACGAGTGTTTCCCTTAACGAGTAAGAGTCTGGAACGAATAAAACTCGTTATGAAAGGTTCCACTGTACTTTGTTCTGAAATTCCAGAAAAGGATACAGATCCTAGGCTTTAAGACACCGAAAAAAAAATTAAATTAAACATTGTCAATGTGGGAAACAAATGACTCAAAGTCCGTGCATCGAGGATTTATCATTAAACATTTTTCTACTTTCCCGCAATAAACACGCGCAATAGGGTTGCATTGTCCCCCAGCTGGTGTGATATAAAAGGCTAACGGAAACAGTTTACTATTTTAATTAAAGAAAAACCCTCTTGTACCTTTATACGTTTAAAACTCTTCTTTTTGCGTATTTCCAAATCGATTTTAACAGTGTGAGAAGATTAGCTCTAAACCTCCGAGCTAATACAATATAGAGAAACAAATTGATACAATGTGAAAACACCGAAAGAACCAGAAAGAGATCGAGCGTAAGAATGTTAACAGGTGCAAAGAAGGATCGATGTGTCGAAAGAATGACTATGAAAAATATCCAGAAAGGAAAGTAAAGAACGCAATTCAGCAAAGCCGTGGCCAGCATGAGTTGAATCAGTGTGTTCTTCATGTTCTCCGCATGGCTTACACGTAGTTCATTTTGTCGTTCAACAGAGTAATTCGAATGGACGTCACTCCTGTCCGTCACCCAAGGTCTCCGGCATTGCCTTCGAGACAAGCAGACTGTTTTGATGACCGTTACCGTCAGCAGCGTTATGATGGTCAGAGGAATCGCTATGGCGATGACGAATTCGATCCAAAAAAAGGTCAAGGTGGTTAAATATAGAAGCGAACAACCGAGCGAGTTCGGATCGTAAAAGATAGAGTGAATGGATACAACAAACAGTGTCAGAAGGATCGAAATCAGAGACACGATAATTTTGCAGCGTTGTTTAGAGATCCAGACATTTCTCTTGAACGGCTTGCAAACAGCCACGCACCGCTCGGCGCATATCACAACGACTGTCCAGTTTCTGATGGCCGAGAGTGTCCTAAAAGGAACGTCGATTATCCTGCAGCCGATTCCGCCAAGCTGTCCATGATAAGCTACAATATTCGTTTCCATAAGTTTAGCAACAAGAGCCGCACTGTCGACGACGGTCAGGAAGCAGAGCAAAAATGAAGCGGGGCCACCGGCTTGAAATCTTGAGATGGTTGCAATGATCAGGACGTTTGCAGGTAATCCAACGCCACAGAAGACCCACATGTAGGTTTTCCTGGCCAGTTCTCTCCAAGAATACAACACGTCCTCATGGGTATTGTAAGAGCTGTAAAGGTTATCAAAAAAATTGTAATATCATCGAAAATATGATTTAAATGCATCATCTCAATTTATTTACTTTAAAAACACACAGAGATACATAACAACAATTTTTAGTTAGCTAACTTATGTGCATTTTATTATTAAACAAATTTCCTTTCTTCTATTAACAAAGGTTTAAAAAAATGTTCGAAAAGGAAATAACAAGAAAATTTATCATAATTATGCGAATTACAGGCATAGCAACTCTCCCCATTAAAATTTTTGTTCTTCAAAAAAGTGTGATATTCCCTTAATGTCTTCTGACTTCTAGCACAGCTTCTTAATTATTTAAATGGCAGAATTCTGATCTAAATCAACACTCCAATCTACAGCTAGTAAGAATGGTAAATTACACAATAATATCCATGTCAACTGCGAGTGTCAACTAGACAATCCTCGCACAATGTGACTCCAATGCTTTGCGCACGATAAACATGTGCTGAATTTAAATAATTTGGGTACAAATTCATATGAATACTCTAAACAGTAATTCTGTTGATGCACGTGATAATATATAAAAAATGTAAATCGTGTTATTATTAAATGTAAAGCGAGTAAATAAAAACAAAAGATTTTTTTTAAAGTACAGCATTGCAACATTTTAATTTGATGGCAGCCATTTTCCTCTCCTGAATGTATTGGAGACAAATGGATTTAAATTACAAGCATTTTATCAGATATATTCCATCATTTTGTCAATTTACACACATTTTAAATGCTGGTCACTTAATACCCTTACTTACCTTTCGTTGGAGAGCCCTGAAACGTTGCAACTTAAGTCCATGTTGATGTGCGAATCACAATTTGTCATTCGATGGGTTGAATCGTTTTCGGAGAATGTTAAAAACAGAAGTTACGAGGATATTAGATATGTTATTTTCAAACTTCTATCTCTCAAAACGTATGTCTCTACCTCTTGAGATTTGATTGTAAAAAATAATATGTCAAACATAAAATAATAGGCCGTCTTCACAAGTTCATGTATGTTGTTAGATGAAAAAGTTTTAGCTGATAATGCATTTTTAGTTAGTAATTGTTTTGAAAAAAAAACAATAAAATAAACATCGCATTGAGAGCCGAGAACAAAATCAATGACCTTATTTAAAAAGCCCGTTCATCAAATGATTCTTGGAAGTATGGCAGCGCTTGTCATCTGTGTAGTTCCTGCCATCGGGTATCATGGCTCAAAATTCGTGTCTCTAATGTCAAAATTAATTTTTTTAAGCCAATATGATTGCTTGACACCCAAATCGATCATTGTATTTATTTTTTTTCATTAAAAAACGAATTGCAGTTTATTTTATATTTCCCTTAACAGATTCACGTCAGCTATTAGATGAAACTGTTATTGGCTGCAGCTATTAGATGAGACTGTTGTTAGCCGCAGCTATTAGATAAGACTAGTGTTTTGCTTCAGCTATTAGATAAGACTGGTGCGGTTGCAGCTACAAGATAAGGCTGGTGTTGGCTGGAGCTATAAGATAAGACTAGCGTTGGTTGCAGCTATTAGATAAGACTGGTGTTGGCTGCAGCTATTAGATAAGGCTAGTGTTGTCTGCAGCTATAAAATAAAACTGGTTTTGGCTGCAGAATTAGACACGATTGTTGTTAGCTGCAGCTATTAGATACGACTGGTTTTTGCTGCCACTATAAGATAAGACTGTTGTTGGCTGCAGCTTTAAGATAAGACTGGTGTTGGCTGCAGCTATTAGATGCGAATGGTGTTAATTGCAGCTATTAGATAACACTGGTGTTGGCTGCAGCTATTATATAAGACTGGTGTTGGCTTGAGCTATGTTTCAAATCATGTTGTTAATTTAATTTTTAAGAGCTTTTGTTTACTCAAGAGACAAAAAATCATTGTATATTTGCTTATCCAACCAAGGAGACAACTGCCAATGTTTAACACCCGACTCTAAATGTATTACTTGCGGTTCTCAAACATTTTGATGCCCATGACAACTTTTGCCTCATTGTTACGACGCACAATCAAAATTATTTCCAGAAATAGAGAAACAATGATGAGGACAGTCAAAATGGGTGGGCGGGTTTACCAGTAATAAATTTTAATTGACTCATCAGTATTTTATAATATGTTTTAGTACATGATAATCATACATCAATATATCTACTTCTTTTTTATATATTTTGATTCTGGTGTGTCCTGCTTCCTTTTTACAACCGCCCCCCCCCCCCCCTTTTTCCTGTTTTTTTTTTTATAAATTTTAATTGACTCATCAGTATTTTATAATATGTTTTAGTACATGATAATCATACATCAATATATCTTCTTCTTTTTTATATATTTTGATTCTGGTGTGTCCTGCTTCCTTTTTACAACCGCCCCCCCCCCCCATTCTCTACGTTTTTTATAGTAGTAGCTCTGAAAGGATAAAAAGCTGTTACGCTACCAGCGTTATATTTTTTTCCTTAAGGGTTGGCGACTATTATAGTAATCACTACTATTAACCTGGTTGAGGTTGTATGTAGGTTTATTGATTTAAACGGGGGGGGGGGGCAGGTAGGTTGTAGGACTAGCTGTAGGCCTATTGTTTTAAACGCGGCAGGTAGGTTGTAGGACTAGCTGTAGGCCTATTGTTTTAAACGCGGCAGGTAGGTTATAGGACTAGCTGTAGGCCTATTGATTTAAACGGGGCAGGTAGGTTGTAGGACTAGCTGTAGGCTTATTGATTTAAACGGGGCAGGTAGGTTGTAGGACTAGCTGTAGGCCTATTGATTTAAACGGGGCAGGTAGGTTGTAGGACTAGCTGTAGGCTTATTGATTTAAACGGGGGGGGGGGCAGGTAGGTTGTAGGGCTAGCTGTAGGCCTATTGTTTTAAACGTGGCAGGTAGGTTGTAGGACTAGCTGTAGGCGTATTGTTTTAAACGCGGCAGGTAGGTTGTAGGACTAGCTGTAGGCCTATTGTTTTAAACGTGGCAGGTAGGTTGTAGGACTAGCTGTAGGCCTATTGTTTTAAACGCGGCAGGTAGGTTGTAGGACTAGCTGTAGGCCTATTGTTTTAAACGCGGCAGGTAGGTTGTAGGACTAGCTGTAGGCTTATTGATTTAAACGGGGCAGGTAGGTTGTAGGATCAGCTGTAGGCTTATTGATTTCAACGGGGCAGGTAGGTTGTAGCACTAGCTGTAGGCCTATTGTTTTAAACGCGGCAGGTAGGTTGTAGCACTAGCTGTAGGCCTATTGTTTTAAACGCGGCAGGTAGGTTGTAGGACTAGCTGTAGGCCTATTGTTTTAAACGCGGCAGGTAGGTTGTAGGACTAGCTGTAGGCTTATTGTTTTAAACGCGGCAGGTAGGTTGTAGCACTAGCTGTAGGCCTATTGTTTTAAACGCGCCAGGCAGGATGCAGGACTAGCTTTAGGCCTATTGTTTTAAACGCGGCAGGTAGGTTGTAGCACTAGCTGTAGGCCTATTGTTTTAAACGCGCCAGGCAGGATGCAGGACTAGCTTTAGGCCTATTGTTTTAAATTCGGCAGGTATGGTGTAGGACTCAATGTAGGCGTATTGTTTTAAACCCAAAAGGTAAGGTGTAGAACTATCTGTAGGCCTATTTGTTTTAATCCGGCAGGTAGGATGCATGACTGTCTGTGGGCGTATTGTTTTAAGGCCGGCAGTTGAGATGCAGGATTTTCTGTAGGGTAATGTTTTCAACCCGGCAGGTAGGATGTAGAACTGAATAATATGATAGTATAATGTCAGGACACTACGTTTTTATTACTTTGAAAAAATGTTATCTTATGATTTAATATTCAGTTTATGGGATTATACTTGTTTGCATCAGAAAGCGGTTCGCATACTAATTTGAATCTATTGTAATCTCCCTGTGACAAGGGAAGATCAGCCAGTGAAGTTTTATCATTGCTATTCGTTTTTTTTTTTTGCTTCATATGTAGGAAAATGCTATTACTCAAACATACACAAGATTGTGTCGAATGTTTGATTCCAGTAACCCTAAAACAAAACTATATATTTAGCTACAAGGTCATAGCAGCAGTTAATAAATTTAATTAAAATACAGACGTATTCGGCATCGCAAGTCTAATTTGGAATCGAAAATCTAAATTGGTATCGATAACCTAATTTGGCATCGAAAACCTAATTTGGCATTAAAAACCTAAATTAGGAATGATAACCTAATGTGGCATCGGAAACCTAAATTGACATCGCTAATCTAATTTTGCATCGAAAACATTATTTTGCACTGAAAACCTAAATTAGCATCGATAACCTAATTTGGCATCGGAAACCAATTTTGGCAACGATAACTTAATTTTAAAGCATGCTTCAGCAATCACGTGACAGCTTAGAACTACGTCAGAAGTGAGCTTAAACAAAGCCTTGACCTAACTACACACACTAAAACAAATTTGAATATACCCGAATATATATCAGATAATTTCATACGAAAGCAAAAATATTCTCTTATTTAAAAACTTTTTCAATATGGTGAGGTGTGTGTGCTTTTTAACAATGGTGAATGATAATTGCTATTGTTGCGAAGCAGGTGACCTTTTGTGTAGAACAGTAGGAGAGAGTTATAAAACATTCAAACAAACTGCGGGGCTCCTGGCCAGCGACATTATAACGACATTACAGAGACATTTTGGCTATCGTCCAATATTAATTATTCGCTTTTTCTGTTAAAATCATACCAGAATAGAATCATGAGAATAGAACAAATATTTGGACTGAACGAAAATAGGGTTTTTGTGCTGGTATGGTGCTATTGGAAGACTCAATATGAATGATGAGTATGCACAATAATTTCAAAGAAGACGACCATAAGTATTAAAAAAAAATAAGAAGAAATTAGACAACAAACTGAAAGCGCATGGGTGTTCATATCTGTCTGTTTAATTGAAATTGTGACACTTGGCAATACTTTTACG